CAGTGCTTGGATGCGCCTGGTGGTGCCGTGCCACCGGCACTCCCAGCACTGTGTAAAGAGGTGGCAACTCCGTCCCATTATGAATTCACATATGATGGTATAGCCTTTGGAAGAGACTCTAGAAGATGATTCGGTAAGTTCGTCTCAGTTCCCAGGCGCCTTGTCCACACCTTAGGCGGTCCCGAAAAACGAAGGGATAAGCGACTCGAGACGAGCGGAGGGTCGGAATCCACAAGTCTGTTCCAAAATGACCGGCAAACAGTTATTGATCCGCGCCATCGGTAACTGATGGTAATGTGACCAATTTTGGGTTCGTGGCCGCAACGCCGTTGGAAGAAACCATGTGGTCAGACGAATTTGACTATTTCGGAAGTAAGTACTGTATAAAAATTACCTGTGGTCAGCACGCAGCTAAAGCAATCGTTCGCCACTGTCCGTACGTACAGAGTCTAATCCATGTCAACCTCTTAATTAACTCTCAAATGTGCTAAGCCTGCCCAATTTTACCTTCAGATCTCCGGCAACCACAAAGATATCTGAGCTTTTAGCTCGCCGCGAAGGGGCATTCAGAGTTTCTTTGACGGCGTCAGAGCTACGGTCACTTGGGTCATAATCAGACATGACAAACAGACATCGATCAACTTCTCGCTTGTGAAACTCCTTCAAAGGCTTTGCCAGACGAACAGCACGCAGGCGACTATCAACGGGTATCCAGTCAAGTAAAAATCTGTCCGGTGACTCGGGACTATACGCACATCTTGCCGCAGCAGCCTCCGGATCACCGGATGTGTATAGCCGGAAGCAAGTGGTTAACTCGACCACTGTGCTTGCATTTTAAATGCTTGTTTGTGGGGCATAGCACGCATCAGGAGCAGCTTGCTGTCCTGCTTGCTTCAGAGTGCGGATATTTAAGGCGGTCAGGTAAACTGGGCACTGAGACTTAAAGATTAATTTCGAAATGTCTGAGGATGTCAGCACCATGCGACGATGAGATGTTGCCTGCATAATCGGATGCAGGATGAGGGGAGTCATCAGTCCCAAGTGCTAGGCCTACAAGGAGAGTTATTAATGGGGTGGGGAGATAGGGAGAAATATGTGAAAGAGGAACAAAAGATGTGTCAGCAGTAGCCTGTTTTCGCTTACCCGCCATGCGGGTCGGTCTGTTGGGTCATTGGCTACGGGTAGGGTCCCCAGAAAGAACCCTAATACCTCCTGTATTCTCGGGCCGGACTTTCGAGCCAGAAGGTAGGGACAGAGTCCCCGAACAAAACGCTACATCCTTGCGCTGTTTTATAGATCGGACTGCTGTGACAAAGGCTCAAGCTGCGATACCTCAACCGGACCTTCTTCCTCAGCCTGAGCAACCGAGAAGTGTCATTTGCGCGCACAGTTCTTTGTCCATCGATGTCCTCCCTCAAACTCTTGACAGCATACAAGCAAAACTTACTGCGTCATTTGGTTGTCGATCATCTAACCAACGTGCTTCAAACACTCTGCCAAGTCATATGCTGTCCACCTCGCAATTTGCGCCATCCTGAAGGAGGCACGGAGAACAACGCTGGTCTCGGTAGACGGTGTTTTGGCATGCGTAGCACGTGACCGAGCCATTGTAGTCGATGATGCTGGAAGTTTTCTCGGATTGAGATGCCTG